TCTTCCCCTTACTATAAAATTAGTAGGAAAGTAATCCTCTAGGGAACGGTGATCTAGACTGTTCGGCGGAGAGCAACCCAGACGACGCTTTGCCGAATGGCAAGGTTTTGTCCGGGGGTGTAGACAGGCCCTGAACGCGTTTATACGGGTTCAAAGGGAATGTTTTTGGTCGAGCCTACGGGATCGTAGAACCCACAAATAAACCGGCCTTGTGCCACATACGAGCCACGTGGTGGGGGGCGTTAAATATAACGGTGATCTAGACTGTTCTACTGAGGCTCTTCGCAGCTCCTGTCCAACTCTCTGCTTTTGGTCGAGAGTAACCCGGACGAGGCTGTGCCGAAGGGCAGAGTTTCGTCCGGGGAGGTAGACAGACCCGAACTCGTTTATGCGGGTTCTACGGGGATTGTTTGGCCTAGCCTACGGGCTCGGATGACCCATGTTAAACTCGGCCTTGTGCTACATATATCCCTCGTGGCGCGGACTGTTAAATATTAACGGTGATATATTTTGAACGCTGGTCAACCGACACACATTCCCAACTCGTGTAATACTTGTCTGTTGTATTTACTGTTCAATACACTATTTATCTGCAACCACTTGTTTTGTTATTTCATAACCATTTACTTGGTCACAACAGTTACAAATCATCGTGACGGAGGTTTGTACAAACTGGTGATAACGCCAGATTTTGGTATCTCTTCCAAAACTACACAGCTAGAGTATAACCCACAGGTTCGCTGTGTAGGTGATGAACAAAAGAAATGAGCCTGAACAGACGTCTGTGACAGGGATTGACTAGACACACAGAGAGCCATAATACGAGCAGCGAGCCATACATAAGATATGACCGTACGCCAGCACGATTCTTTCTTAGTACATACGACTGCAAAAACGAAAGGAAAAAAAATCTCCCAATCAACCTTAAAAAGAAGGCAAACCTTTGCAATACCAACAGCAAAAATAGTAAACTATGCCTTGGAGAAATATTTCACTTAGCTTCAAAAATCAAAACAAATTACGAAAGAAAAGATGTACATTCAATGAATATGCTTCCCCCCCTTTTTTAAGTATTTCATCCCAAGCAAGGCAGGAGTGCTCCTAGCACGCAAGGGGTTACAGAGAGTGGGAGCAAGGGTAAAGAGGGGTGTTTGAGGAAAGGATATAGAAAAGGACGGGGATCAGGATCCGGCATCAGATGATGTCGATTGACGTTACATTTGAATATTTGAAGATTATAGCTATCAGGGAAGCAAGTAAGGGGAAGGGAGTCTCTCTGTCGGGAAGTGCGAGAGAAGAAGCTGTTGGAGTAGAAGAGACGGCTACATGTAACTGTTTCGGCAATGAAAAGGTGGGACCGAGATGCCAACCTAGTAGCACGCTTAAAGTCATGCAGTTGGGGCACCAGTAAAAGTAGCTCGTCAGAGCAGATGCCATGAAAATATTTGAAGAAAAGACAGAGGGAAGCCACTTCACGACTGAGAAAGTGATTGAAGACGAGATGCCAGGTAAGTACCTATCACATTGCATATCCGTCTTTGGATTTTGTCAAGAACCTCGAGATGAACAGCAGGAGCACCAGACTATAAATGACAACGTAAATTAGTCTAGTCTAAAAAAAAAAAAAACAGATTTGTTTGGAGTTAATAATCTGACAGCCCAAGCAAGAATTTCAATCGACGTTCAGGGACGATATCCATGCATGATCAGTTAAGCTCGGCTTATTTCCAGACTAATTACAATCCATTTTAGAAGCTTTCTAGAATAAATTTCCGATGCTTTTATATCTCGCAGAATCTTGTTCTATCAGTATTTTTTTATGAATTCATCACCAATGACAAATGTACACCTACTATGCTCGTATAACGCAAAAAGAGGAGTATATAAAATTTTAACAATAAAAAGTGAATGAAATCGACAACTGTTATGATGTTCATTTGGGGTTAGTAGAGACAAACGCCAACTAACACGTAACAATAAAAAGGGTTTTAATAGGTTGGTAAAAAGGTACAGAATTCGCCTGTAGTCAATAGTTAGCTCAACTAAGAACTTCTCTGTCTATCTAGCTTAGTATTTATCGATCCACCCACGAGGAATGAATATGGCACAAGGCCGGTTTAATGTGGGTATCACCGAGCCCGTAGGCTCGGCCAAAAATATAGCCTTTGAACCCGCCTAAACGGGTTCAGGCCCTGTCTACCTCCCCGGACGAAACCTTGCTCTTCGGCAAAACTTCGTCCGGGTTCCTCTCTGCTAACGCAGAGAGTTCGACAGACGTCGCTTACAGTCAAAGACTGTATCACGACTCAGCTAGACTCGTAGGTCTTACCCTCTCTGTCTATCTGTCTTCTGTCATGTCAACTGACATGCCACGATTTAAAGTCTTTGTTCACAGACGCAGACAAGTTCATCTTCAAGAGGGGTGGTAGGTTTCCGACACAACAATAACAATACCATTAAGTTTATATTTCTAAAAGCCAGAGGTGACGCAAGGGATTCCTGCAGAATCTATGATGAGGGGAGCTCTTTACTCTACTAATTCTCAATTTTCCGAAGGTAGTATTCGCATTAAATACAAATTTTATTGTAACCTAATTATGTACAGAATACGAATTATAGGTGAACAATTCAATTAGAAAAAATTGAAAATAAATCCAATGTATCTAAATCCAAATTAAAGACATGCCATAATAGATAATTCCATCTGAAATAAAATCAAGAATTGTCTTGCGGCAATTTTTAACATCAACTTGAGATTTTTTCTTTTTAAGAAATTGAAGAATTTTAACAGATTCAATATTGGATAAAGAATAGTGAATTTTATATAGTGTTTTTGTTTTTTTTGTTTTGTTGTCGAGATTTAGCACGAAGCAAAATACGTCAAAATAGATCATGCCATCTTAAATAAATCAACAATGTTTGAGTGTAATTTTTAAAATCAACTTGAGATTTTTCTTAGCATGAGAAAAACGATTTCACGGATTTGTCTGAAGGAAAAAAAAAGACCCCAGAATGACGTCAAATATTTTCATCCTTCAATAGTCGGTTGTGTTTAGTTTAATTTGTAACATAGATAAATGTAGGTGGGAAAAAAAAGCAAATTCACAGCTACTATGCTCGTATAACGCAAAAAGAAAAGTATATAAAATTTTAACAATAAAAACTGAATGCATAAAAATTAATATAAGCTATAATCATACTTATTATAAAACCCAGGTTGTGTGTGTGTGTGTGTCTGTACGTTTATATATTGGATCGGATTTCCTACATTTTTCAACCGATTTCAACAAAACTTCACAGGATTACGTAAAATTACCTTGCGGTGGTTCTGACAGTGCCAAAAATTGTTTTTGCACGAAATCAATTTGAAAACACGATTAAGAGGCATCGCTGTTGCGAGAATGAAAGGGGGACAACTCATATCGTTTTATACTTATAAAACCCAGGTTGTGTGTGTGTGTGTGTGTGTGTGTGTGTGTTCGTTTATATATTGGATCGGATTTCCTACATTTTTCAGCCGATTTCAACAAAACTTCACTTTTTTTGGCAGGTAGTGTTTCTTATTGTCTTGCACACTTTTACACTTTTTTCTTTATTCAGAATGCTTTAAAAATTCCATTTACAAGACAATTGTTTATAATAAAATTCTATTCAATCGGTAGACTCATAACGATTGAAAACAATGTTTTTGTTTGAGTTTGACCAATTCGTAAAAATAAAAAAAAACAAAATAAAAAAAAATAATTATGACATGCGTGTCCGTCAACCTTAAACAATAATCTTTGTCAATTTTATTTTTCAGTTGATACTTGATCTATCTCTTACTGTTACATCCCCGGGCAATGCCGGGCTCTACTGCTAGTAATTAACTATAATAAACATTTCATATGAAGAGCAATACTTACAATTCTTAAAAAGTGAATTCAATCGACAACAAAGACATTAAATTTATAATTCTAAAAGCCAGGGCTGATGCAAGGGTTTCCTGCAGAAGCTATGATGAGTGGGCGGGAGGGCTCTTCACTCTACTAAATCTCTATTTTCATAAGGTAGTATTCACATTGAATACAAATTTTATTGTAACCTAATTATGTACAAGAATACGCAATATAGGTGAAGAATTCAATTAGAAAAAGTGAAAATAAATACAATGTATCTAAATATAAATTAGAGACATGTCATAATAGATCATTCCATCTTAAATAAATCAAGAATATTTAGCGGCAGTTTTTAACATCAAACTCAGATTTTTCTTGTTAAAAATTTCAATATTTTTAACACATTGAACATTATGGATAAAAAATAGAGAATTTTATACATTTTTATATATTTATACATTGGATAAAAAATAGAGAATTTTATACATTTTTATACATTTATACATTGGATAAAAATAGTGAATTTTATACATTTTTATACATTTATACATTGGATAAAAAAATATTTTTGAATTTTATATATTTTTATACATTTATACATTGGATAAAAATTGAGAATTTTATACATTTATACATTGGATAAAAATAGTGAATTTTA